CTTGAACTCCTACCGCAATGCATCCAAATGCTCAACAACATGAGTTTCCGTGGGAGACCAAACGAGGACCCGAATGTTCACCTTACGAACTTCAAGATGAACTGTAAGGCAATCAAGAAGGGGCCGGGGATTACCCTTGAAGATGTGTTTCTTGAAACCTTCCCCTACTCACTTACGGAGAGAGCCAGGGAGTATACCGGTCGCTTGAATCCTCCTTCATTCATGGGAGACAATGGGGAAGTGACAGTTTGCCTAAGGACATCAGATGGATTTCTCATGCAAGAGAGAGTCGGTTCCATGAATCCAGGTTGGGAAAGATGCGGTAGAGGAGGATAAGCCATTGGCATGATGCTTTGGGGAAATGGTGGTGCAGATGAGGGACCAGGTCGTAGCTGAAGGGCCTGCACTCAATAGGATATAAACCATAGTTTGAGCTTTGTATGATACAAACTGCTCATCAGATAAAAATATATGTCAGTCTAACTGATGGGTTTCAACTTTCTTACTTCTTTAGCCATGAGGCCATCGAGGTTTAACTCAAGCTGAGGATTTACGGTTGCGAGTTTCATTGATAAGAACTGAAAAAAAAACGAGGAAAAGGACAATTCATAAGATGAGACTGATAAAGAATCAATCACAAATATTAAACAAGAGAGAACAAAGTTGGATATAGGTAAATATCCACAGGCATATACATACCTCGACCTGTCGTTGTAGTGACTGGACATAGTTAATGATTTCATCGAGCATAACTGCCTTCCCTGTGACCTGCACAACACATCCATTTCAACTATATACGAGAAATGGAGCCTATAGCTTTCTTCTCGTACAGCTATAATCATCTAGAAGCCTCACCTTATTGCAACCCGGCACAAGGTCTTGAAGGAACTTCATCCTTTCACTAATCTTTTCTCTCCTTACCTGCAATGAGAAGAAATGAAAAAAAAACACCTAATTAAGATTCAAGAGTGCACCACAAACAAAAAGAAGTTTGAAGAGATTGCTCATATCATATTTTAAGACGTAGAACCATACTCTTTCTGCAAGACTATGGCTGTTTGTGGCCTGGCCTCTTCGAGCCCTCATGTGAATATATCCTTCCTTTGGAGGATCAGAAGCTTGTTTCCCTCCACTTGTCTTCTTAGGAGACAAATTGGTATTTCGCTCATAATTTTCCTTTTTCTCACCATTGTTGTCTGGTTCTTCACCTGACTGCAGAGCTCTACTTGACTGGTTAGGCTCATAACCGTACCGACAGAGAGATTATCTATGTAATAATTGGAAAATACAAAGAATTCAGGAAAGAAAAGAGTGCTTTATAGCCTTTACCTGGCTATTTATTTTCCTTTTCTTCCTATCAAAGCACTTGGAAGGGGTTTCCCCAGATTTCAATTCCCCAACTTGCAGTTCATTTCGACCATTACCACCACTGGATCGAGTTTCATCAGACATATGACTGCATCCAGGTTTATCTACTTTAACTTCTTCGTTGGCTCCAACATGGATCACAGTTCCTGCATCATTCTTGAACCCATCTCTTACTGCCGTAGAAGCATCCTTTGGAAGTTCACCGACATTTAGTTCATTCCCCGAGCATTGTCCTCCATGAGCTTGTTTGGCTACAGTTCCCACTGGCATATCCTGCAGCCGTTGCATTGTTCCACACACTTGAGAATACAAACCAATTGGTTCAGGAACTCCAAGAGGTTGGTTCAACATTTCACCAAAAATCCCACTACCGTAGCACGAAAACCTTGCAGCACGAGTAATGAAGCCCGAATCAGCTGGGATCTGAGCCATGCTATGGGGGAAGAACCCATTTGCATTAGGCAGAAGAAGAATGTCTCCATTAGGCAACGGATTAGAAAGATTCCAACCCGTTTCAAGAGGTCTATCAACATTATTCCTGAAAGAGCCAAGATTGCCATCTGCAACACCCAATACACCCGAAGAACCTGCATCAGTCTGGACACTGAAACTGCCAAACCCTGTGGTCTGTACACTGGAGGGATCATGCCATAGAGCTTTACTAAATGAATTCATCATCTGAGATTGAGAAAAAGATGATGGACCAACAGACATAGGATCCCCTGGAGGATATGAATCCGTAGGCAAAGACACTGGATTAGAAACACAGACTCGCCAGTCTGCTGGCTTGTTAACCGAATCACAGCTTACATTATTAACACTACTGTTCTTCTCTACCGCAAACTTGTCTTTGTCACCTATGTGATCCATGTCTCTCCAGCTTCTGAACAGCTACCAAAACAGCCAAGTCCTGAATTAGCTTCTCTACCGAATCGTACCTTAACATGAGAGCTTCAGCCTCCAAGACCAGCACACTGTATATCTCATTAAGGCTTGCAACAAAAGCACATTCACGGGAGTGAAATCAAATGGCACCTGAGGAACATTTAAGAACATGAAATGTAACCGTGAATAACGAGAAAGGAATGACTACCAGCTTGATCAGATGAGTAATAAAAGTTACCCGAGACATAAGGCCCCATCAAAAGAATCAGATCAAATCCATGATTTGATCGTATTGGCCAGAAGCACTATCAAGTACTGAGATGAAGTTCAAAAAGGTGCATAAACAGTCAACGGACACCATGATTTCCGTACAGACACTCAGAAACGGTCTCCTAAGAAACCCTAACCAGATTTTAGCAGAGATTGGAGCTTAGAAGCATCAAGAGAAAGGCACCCATTACAGATACTGTGCCCCTCTTTGAACAAGTTCAAATCTTTTTCCTCAATTTCTTACCAATCTTTATGGAACTGGGTCAGTTCTCAGCCGCAACAACAGATTAGAGAGAAACAGCGAAAGTGGTCGCCTTTTAGAGAATAGAGATATAACACGGGGAGAAAGAGGAGAGGAAGAAGCAAAAAGAAATACAGGAAAAGGGTCTGGATTTATACCCACGCTTGCATTAAAAACAGAGCCCTTTGACGACTTAGCCACCGCCATGGCCAAAACTCGAGCATTATAATAGTTCTCATTTTAAGGGAGAAAGCATTTAAGACTTCAAAGTGTTCGTCTTTGGGTAATTATACCAGCTTGAGCCGATCGGCCGACAGTGACAACTTTCATTTTTGGGGTTATCTTAAATTCTCCCTTTTTTTTCGTCTAATCGTCGAAGAACGAGCTTCGTGACCCTCTTCCTATTTCATCGAGAAATTTAGGGGTTGATGTTTGTATTCGGTTCCAAAGAACCGAGCCATACCGAATCAAAAATTTTCGAACCGTATAGTTTAAAATTTTTGAACGGTATAGAACCGAATTTTTCAGAACCGAATCGAATCGAACTTTATAAAATTCATGAAAACAGATTTTTTAAAAAAAAATCTAAATTTTTTTAACAAAAATCGAAACCGAACCGTACCAAAACCGAAACTGAACCGATTATTATACGGTACTAATTTGGTACAGATCTTAGAATATCGAATGAATTATTTCTGAACTAAACTATTAAAATTCTGACTCGAAACCCGAAACGTCCGACCGCTAGAGAAATTAGAGATTGTTTGGTAAAAAAACCTCCCGAATCCATCCACCTTCACTTCCCCATTTACGCACTTGTTTATTTATTATTATTAATATTTATTTAATAATTTCTTTTATTTCGCTATTATATTTTTATTTGAAATAATTTATTTCAAAAAATTTATATCCAAATAATGTGAAAGAATACATACCTCTAACATAAACACTTGGTTTCTAATATCCCATCTTCTTTGTCACAATTTTTTCAATTTTTCTAATTAAAATAATGATTTATCAACCAATTTAGTTAATGTAATGATAAAAAAAACATACAAAACATATTTTTATTTCAGGTTCAAATTCAAATATAGACAAGGATATTTATCGGATCGGATCCTCTAAAAATATAGTTGGATCAAATATCCGATAAATTTATCGATTATAAAAAAAAAATATAACACGGTTATTTGGTTGGTTTGTTCAATATATTAATTGATTTGTTAACAATCGTATAGGTTAAGATAGATGTGGTTTACTTTGATAGTCAAGTATGATGATGATAATTGCTTCACCTTTTTTTTTTTTTTCCGAAGGGTGATTTTATCTGATTACTTCTTATTTATCTATTCGAGTTGCACTTTCCCGTATTCAATGTTTTGGATTTTATACCAAACCATACATCCTTAAAAAAAACATATACATTAAAATTTCATGCACGGTCCATTCTAACATTTTTATTGCATTTTTTTATAAAAAAATATTGTCTTGTGACCTCTTGCTTTGGGCGAAGCATATAATTTTGCAGCTCAAAGTCGAGTCGTAACCCGTCCGGCTGACAAATACTAAAATATTAATAACAGTTCTAAAAAAAATCAATAAATAATTATTTAATATAATAAAATAAATTAGATTTTCTCCTATGTCTGTAATATTTTTACTATATTTTAGTTACACTTTATTCGAGTCTATTTTGCCATTTACAAATCCTAAATGTATATATCGGAAATAACATAAACTTTACATTTAGAAAACATAATTTTTCATCCATATATACAAAGTTTACATTTGCCAAAAAAAACACAACATAATTTTTTTTTTATAGAATCAGCCGTCACTGCTCTTATTATGTGTATGGGGTAAATTTTCGTTCTCGTATAATAGTTTACAAATGAAATGAGAGATATAAATCAACTTAAATTATCCATATATGATATGTTCATAGATGTAGAAATATTCGTCCGGATTTTTCTAATATAAACTTTTATGTACATACCATTTATATCTCAGGAATATAAAAAACAAAGGACACAAATGTAAGAAAATTTATACTCTTTCTGTATAGTTTTATTTGACGTTTTAGCTTTCAACACGCATATTAAAAAAATAAAATTTTGTCTAAAATATCATTTTTTAATTATGATGGCTTTATTTTTTCTCTCATACAATATTATAATTACCTATTATTAATGAAGAATAATTTTGGAAAAAGTATCAAAAAGTAGATAGAAAATATCAAAACTTGATTTATTTTTTTAAAAAAATGACTCTAAAACGTTATTTAAAACTAAACAGGGAGTATAATTTAGGAGACTTTTTTCGTGTTATTCCACTATATAACGTCTTTACTACATTCGAGTGGAAAATGGTTTCATATAATAAAAAGGAGAGTTGGCGGACGGTCACAAGCCCCAATGTCATCATTAGTTGGCCTCGGGACTCCCAATTTCATACACCTAAACAAACCGTAGTCTTATACACACATATATAGAGCTTTAATTATATATATTTTTATGCAATCATAATTTCAATACTACTGGATACACATATAATATGGCCGCTAAAGCAACATACGACTGTTTTAATGTAAAATGAAAAAGAACATATTTTATTAATAGGTTTATTCGTCTGCATGGGCTAAAAAATTTATCTTATGAGCATTTTAAATATTGGGCGTACATATATATAGTTATTGCCCCAACCCCAAGGCCTAATCCTGATCGGCCCATATTAATGTCCAGTCTTTTACGGATCTTTCGGTATTTGATGCAGATTCTAACACGATCCAATCATATATATTTTTCAAATGAATTTTACAGCGAGTTAAATTTTTTAACTGCATGTTTCGTAATGTTTATAAAAAAAATACAGAATGTAAATGTTATTTCCTTATCCAAATTTCGAACTTTAGAATTTCAAAATTTACGTTATATATTTTGCATATAATACGTTTTGTGTATAATGTGTGTGTGTGTGTGTGTATGCATCACGATTCACGAGAGCAAGTTTATTTTTTGTCGCTTTTTCTGCTTCTTCTGGCTGGAACCAGCCAATGGTAAGAGAAGCTCGTTTGCTTTTTCCGTTGTCTATTCTGTTTCTGCTCAATAATTCAACGTCCACCACAGAAGCGCCCTTGCTGCTAACGTGCGCATGACCCCGCGTCTATCATGCGCACGCTCCCGCGGACGTTGACTGATCTGTGGGCATCCCGCGCATTTTAGCATTCAGTACCGACGCCAGGAAAAAAAAAAACCCAGAGGATCGTCCGTCTTCCACAAGGAAGAGAAAAATTCAATAGCTTCTTTGGAAGGAGAAGACTCGTGATCCTCTTGATCGCCGAATTCAACGAATCCCGTCGGAGTTTCATCGTTCAGGTCGGTCTCTAAGAACCCATTTGATCGTTCTCTTCCCCTTTGTTATCGTTATGATTTTATCTGTGTTTTGATATCTCGATCTTGCGCAGTTGCTGTATCAAGCAACTGGGTTCTCTCATTGTTACATTTTGTTAGTAGAATTTTGATACTTTCCTCGTTTTTATGGCTAAAGTTGGTAGAAATGTTGGTCTTTATATGCTCGATAATGTATTTGTTATTGAAAATGCTGAATTTTGCCACTAGGAAGCCAAACATAGTTGAGGTTTGGTCGGTATTCTCATGATTGGATGTCAGTTCTTGGTTTTAGTCGTGGATTGAGTGTTTTTTTTTTCAATGGAGAAACAATGGTTTGACCCATCTTTTGAATGACACTACAATTGGGACTTGCTTTGGAAAATAACTGTAGATTCCTCAACTTCAGGATGTTTTGATTCCAGAGTGGTGAAACAAGAACTGGTGTATTATCTGGTGTTAGCTTTTTTGATGCACATGTCTTTAGTTGGTTGAGAATCTTGGTGATTAATCACATATATGGGGTGTGTCGATTTCTGTTTCATCTTTCTGTTTCTTGTTCTTTTTACTGCATTTTCGTCTTAAAAGGTTAGTTTCTGATTCCATCATTCTTTCATGAACAAGAATGGTAGTATTCTCTATCATCTTGTTGGCTGGTGTTTACGTTCCAGTTCACCTTTCAGGGCTTAGGTGTCGGAGTTGAAGAAACTATTCCCGAGATGTCTATGGAGAGTGAGGCCTTGGATAGCGAGAGTGACATGCAAGAGATGAATGATATGTTGAGGATCTTGACAGAAATAGACTTGGACACAACATATACTTCAGAAAAGCTGCTGAATTTTCATGTTCTTCTCATGCACCTACTAGCCTGGGATAGTGATCTTGAAGGCATGGCCATAACTGATTCTACAGGATCAATGGAGAAAGCTTTGACGTTTGATCTCTTATGTGGTATTTTGGAGTCCGAGTTAAGGGGGGTGGACGAGTTCTTGGATGTGCTCGAAGCCCAAGTTATTGACATGTCATACAAGCTATCTTCATGTGGACAAACAAAAGAAATTTATGTTATTATGGGAGGCAAGTTGGATGATTCTGCTGAATCTTTGAAGCAGTCTAGGGGGCAACTCTCAGAAATCACATTGCAATTAGCACAGCTCCAAAGAACGCTTCATTATATAAAAAATGGTGGAGGTAACAGCACCTTTTTAGCTCACTGAAAGAATCTTTGTGTTTTGGATCTTTGAGATTCTGGAGATATGGCCGTTAAAATGAATAACCATGTTGGCAGGTGAAAACGATGAGTCAATGGAGTTCCCGAGAAACAGCCAGCTGAAGGATGTCGGTAGAAAGTTGAGAAGACCGTCAGATTTAAGGCAGAAACATGTTCTGACGATGCTGGAGAAGTCTTTGGGAAGAGAGCTAGAGCTCGAGAAGAAGTTATCAGGATTTCGGCAAAATGAAGAACAGCTGCAACTCAAGCTACACTACACTGGGGAGGTGGTTTCTCGGATGGAAGAAGCATCAGAAGTTATATGGGGACGGTTTTTAGAGGCGGAAAATTCTTCAGAGGTGCTTATGGGGATTTCAAAGGAACTCATCGGTAAACTTCAGATTCTCCAGTTTAATCTGAATGGGTCAGTCCAGCGGGAGTCTGAATTTAAGTCTAAGCTTGAAGATTGTATTGAACAAATCAAAGCCAAAGATATTCGCTTGCAAAAGCTTGAGGAAAGCAATGGAGAAGGTATGAAGTTAGTTTCAGAAGTACTCTCTTTGAGGGAAAATGTGAAGTCAGCCGAACAGAAGCTAAAAAATACCGAACTCGAGCTGAAAAGTGTCGGTATCTCTAAACAAGAAATTCTAGTACAGCTTGCTGAAATGGAAAATGCAACTGAATCGCTAAAAGAAAGCCTCTTCGAGGCTGA